TGTCATGCTCTTCCAGAGGTTTTTGTAAGATTATTGGGCAGTTTCTCTGCCTACACGATATTATCACAGATGCTTGGTTTACTTTTGCAGTTCTCAAAACTGAATTTGACTCAGCGGAGATCACATGCCTCTTCTTCACAGCAAAAATGTTATAACATGAACAGAGTTAAGAAAAAGACCTAACTTCTACAAACCTATGAATACAGAATCCACCCCTTCAGTGCTAAGTTTCAAGAAGTTCAGTGAATAGAATAGAAACAATATTTTTCTGATTGTTTGGAGTGCAATAGATCTGCACAAGAAGAAAGTGAAACTAAGTGTGAGGAGGAAGGGGCTGACAGTCTAAGTTTCTTAAAATATATATATTCTGTTTAGCCAAATTAGTTAACAAACATGGATGTTTGTTTAAGCAAATAACATATGCTGGAATGTTATTGTTTCAGTTGAATAAATCTATTTAAATTATTATTAAGGTAATGATTATTTTTCTCCTTCCTAAGTAAAACAGAAACGTTGTCCAAATATGAATGATTAACCTATTAAACTGGGGATAAAAAAACTAATATGAAAAGTTGTTATTCTAAAAATCTTCATCTACTTGCATATTAAAGTTATACCAGCAAGAATTAGTCTTTATGTAGAAAACTAGGATTTAAATCAAGCCTGACTAGTGATTTAAATTAGTTTGATTTAAATCAAATCCACCCTGGTGGGAAGTACTGCTAATGAACTAGTTATTAAGTGAATGGGGTTTAGAAGGGGCAGAGATCTTCCAGTTTATAATCACAGACTTCCATCATTATCAATATCAGAGTATCATCAGTCAAGCTTTAGTGCTCTAGAAAAAGTCCACTAGTCTCATGTCTTACAGGCCTCTCAAAACTTCTCTTAAGAGGCCCTAAAACAGCTGACTATTGTGATATAGGGAGATGGACACAAATATCTACAATTAAGTGGATCTCCTTTTTGTTGAAAGTGAAAAATCCCAGTGAGTAACACCCTTCATATGTATGTACGGGTGTCATGGCTCATATTGCTGAGGAAAGCGCCAAGAAACTGAAAAACTTTTAAAACATTAGGAGCATGGCACAGCAAATCATGAATAATACTGATTATTTTTAATATTTGGTGACACATTAAAAATAATTCAGCTACAATTTCCTCATTAAATAATGTCAGACAACTATATGAATGTGAAAGTTTAATACATTTTTTATTTTTTCTTTTCACTCCAGGAAAGAATAATTTTATTAATCACAATCACATCTTCCAGTGATTCAGACCTACAAATACTAGTCAATACAACAGTAATGTTGGTTATTTAAAAATAGAATGAGTACTTATGATGTGGCATTAAAGGAGAACTTCAGTCTCCCCAAACAAAGAAAAGGAGAAAAAAGAAGCTATTTAAAAATGTACATCTTCCAACCCCAACCTATAAAAAAAAAAAGACACTTCTAAAAAAGGAAACCTTCAGTTTTGTATCTACGGAAGAAAAAAACAGAATGGGAAAAGAAAAAAAAAAATTTTTCTCTCTCCCTAAACTGAAAAAAAACTAATGCTCTTGCTCCTGTAAGTGTATACAGCTCTGGGAGAGGCGATAATGATTACTGGCACCCCAGACAACGTCATCCACTGGCAATCTTTGGCAAGATACTTGTAAAATAATGTACAGCTAGGAGGTATTCCGAGGGTGGGCTGTGATGTTTCTCATTACAACAGTGGAACTAACTGATCAGTTGTTAAAAGTAGGCAGATCTATCCACGTAAACACTTATCCCCCTCCCCCAGTAAGTCTAAAACATTTATAGAAGAAAACCAAGAATGAGCTCCGATAAAAGTTAGTTAAAATCAATGTAATGTATATGGAGGACTAGGAGGGGATATTTTGTCCATGCAACAAAACATGAGTTCACTTTAAGAGTAACCTGGCTTAAATCTATAAAGGCATATCTACAGTATCTAAAGTATGTTATATTTTACTCAAATGTTTATGAGATTTACAAAAGCAAATTGATTCTATGACTGCACAGTATACCCCTTCCTGTGTGTAGACCCCCTGCACACTGCCCCAATCTACTGCTGCAAGCCCCATAAGAGACTTGAATTCTGAGTATGGGGCAAACATTTCTTCTCTAATCCCGCTGTGGTGACTCCATTATGAAGATGGAATAAACAGCCAAATACAGCGTTTTAAAATGTAATGGTTTGGTAGCAACCTTCATGGCTGTAGTGGCAGATTTGGGGGAAAGGGGTGGGCAGGAGCACAACAGGCTTTCAATAAAAAAAAAAAAAAAAAAAAAAAAAAAAAAAGTATGAACACAACAGCATCTAAATTTCTTTTGCACACAAAAAACCAATGTCAGGTTTTACTGCTGTAGGAGGCTCCAAATTGAAAGGATTTCCCTTCACTTCCTCACTACCTTTTTAGCTAACAGAGGTGACGGAATTTCTCCAACAGCAACACAAACAGGAGTAAAATATAATTTTCTTGCTTTGCGGAAAAACCTTTTCTTGGGATCCAGTTAGGGACACAGAAGTCTCATCTTCGGTTATACTGCCACTTGCAAGAGGATTAGACACTGGCAAAAAAACAAAACAAAAACCCTATAGCCCTGCCAAAGTATCCCTCCCACTACCAGCCATGTCTCGTTTTTTTTTTTTTTTTTTTTTGCTACCAAGAGCTGCTCGATGCAAGACCAAGAAGCAATCACAGATCTAACAGAGTGAGCATCGGATGATGGTCTGTCTGAGCCATCTAGAGATGGTGGAACGAAAAGGAAATCTGTCTTTCTAAAAGAAGCAGTTGCTGAGAAACAGATCCTCACACAGCCTGAACCACACTCAGTCAATAGATGGGAAGGTGCCTTTGGTGAACAGGAGACAGACAAAAGGGATGGAAGACTAATGACCTGAATGAGGTAAAAAGGCACAAGCTACAAAGAAAGGAAGTCCTTGGCCTCACCCTCACACCATCATGTCCCTATGCAAAACCAGAAAAAGGTTCTTTGCAGGCGAACGCCACCAGATTAGACACTCACATCACAGAGATGACTGCTACAAAGAATACCGTCTTGAGGTGAGAGTAGAGAGAATAAAGTCAGAGAATACCAGATTCAGTACAGGAACAGGGATACAAACTGAGGGAGATAGATGGGAGACTCCCTGTACAATAGCTATGCCCATTACAGCTAGCAATCAAGAAGCAGCATGGTAAATCAGACCTTAAAACAGAAAATCCAGACAGACAATCTTGTGAAGCCCAGAACTATTACTGATTGGCATACCACAACCACCTGGATCAGTCCAGCGCAATGAGGTCCACCAGAATGTACTCCATTTCAATCCTGCAAAGCAAATGAAGAAGAAGGTTTGGGGAAGAAAAGCATAGATCAGTGCATACTGATCCATGGAGTTACCCTGTACCTGGAGCCTTTGTTTGCTGTGGAACCTGGAGTCCAGACAACTATGTTGGAGTGAAGAAAGCAAAAGGGAGGTTTAACAGAGGAGAAGACTTCGGGCTCGTTCACACTTGGCTGTTTTACCAACGCTTGCCAAACTTCCCTATAGCGTTTGGCAAGCGTTGGTCCGGCATTTGCAGAGCGGTTTTTTAACGCTCGGCAAACGCCGCATGCGCGGTTTAGCGGCCTTTGCTAGGCATTTGCCGAGCGTTAATAACGCCCCACAAATGCCTATAATGCAGTTTGAGTGGTGTTACCGCTCCGCAAACGCCCCGCAACCGCCGGCCAGGCGTTTGCGGAGCGGTACCACAGACGAGAATAGGAGGCTTCAACGCCTCCTGACTCGACCAGAGGCGTCCGTTTTGCCCCGATGCCACGCAAACGCTCCCATTAGAACAGCACCATGTGCTGTAATGTGCAGAGGCGTTTGGGAAGCGGTAAAAACGCTTCCCAAACGCCTCTCTGCCGCCTGCACACAACGCTAGTGTGAACGTAGCCTTAAGAATCTGTTCCTTAGTTTTCCTCCATGTTTCAGATTTATTGAAGAGATGTCCCTTAAAGGCAAATGAAGATATGCAGGTTTTGCAATCCTTAACTTTGGTCAAAGTGTCCTCCATCTGTGTACAGACAGGAGACCCATGTGGGACAGGAGACAGGAAGTTTCCAGCAGACTGAATCCTAAAGCTACAACCTTTTGCTCCAAATGTTCTGTAATTAAGGGATCAACAGCAGCAGTGGTGGTAAGATCTTTTAAAAGCACTTCAGCCAAAAGATTTAGCGGAGTAAGGTCACAGGATCTGCTAGCCAGAACAAAGCTCTACATTCCTTAAAGCGGAGCTCCACCCAAAAGGGGAAGTTCTGCTTTAAGGGCTGCTCCCGATTAAGGATTGGCACTTTGGGGAGGCGAAGGTGCACTGGTAATAGGAGGGGCTATCTTGGGCTGGCTTACACTTTTTTTTTTTTTTTTGCAGTGTTTAATCCTCCTGTAGGCAGCAGTATAACCAGAAAGGTGAGAGACTCCTGTGTCCCTCAATGGACAAAAAAATAAATAAATTTTTTTTTTTATTCTGCTACAGATCTTTAAAGTAAATTTATTATAAGGCTTCTAAATCTCATTGTATGAAATTCAAAATGGATGGAATTTTCCAGCAGACACAAAACAAGAGCATCTCCTCATCTTCGGTCATTACCATAGAATTTCAAGGTGGGCACAGTAGGAGCAAGACAGACCAGTTTACAAAGCACAAAACAGTACCAGTCCTAATCTACATTGCATGTGTTGGTTTCTTTAAACTATCAAGCTACCTTTTAAAATATATACATCCCTAACGATATAGCATTGAATACACTAGCAGGTCATGCATACATTATGCAGAGATACAATAAATGCTGTAAACAGAAAAGGCTTGTAAATAAAAAGTATGGGACAATGGAAATATTTCCCCACTAAAAAAAAAAAAAGAAAATAAAATAAAAACGCTACGACATTCCCTCACACATTAGCAGGTTTTTCAGAATCAGGCTCAGCATTGAACTCACTTGAAGCAGAGCCTGGCGTTAGAGGTTTGAGAGGTGTACTTTGCGGCAAAGCATTCCCATAGCTGGTATATATAGTCATAAGCTCGCTCTTGGTCTCCTGTTTCTTGTGTTTCTTGCCCGCATAATGCTGTTGTGCCATATGAGGATTGTTAAATGTGGCCCTGCAGAGTTGACAAAACTTTTCAGGGTCTGACCGATCGACTGCCCCTGTGGTTTTTTCTGGAGCAGGTGTCGTTAAACGGAGCTTCTTAGGAAGAGGTATTCCTGTCAAGCACAAAAACTCAAGTTTATGTAAAGATAACACCTTAAAGGAAAGTTATACATATTCCATTTAGAATTTAAAAACTCAAAAAAAGGGCACATATAAAAATTACCTCTTACTATGTAAAGTTTAAAAAAAAAAAAAAAAAGTGTCAGAATAGAAAATGCTTTTTTTTTTTTTTTTTTTTTTTTTTTTAAATCAACTCTATTGCTATCCCAAGGGATGAACAACATCCCTTGTGATAGCATGGGCCAGAACAGGTCCTCTTTACAGAGAGATATGGGGTCTATTAGACCCCAGATCTGCCATCTAGCCTCCAAAGCACCTGATCTGACAAAGATCGGTGGGAACGGCTGCTACACAGGTCGGTAAGGGCCTATTTACATCAGACTGGAAGTAACCATATACTCTCTGCTTCCAGGTTCTTGCTCTCTGATCATCTCTGCGGTCTGTCTTATCCTTGGTCATCTCTATGGTAAGCAGTCCGAACCGCTGGCTTCAGTCCCAGGCTCCCCGTTACTATGGGAGATCCCCTTCCGCCACGTTTAAAGCAATCCAGCTGCTCGGAATACTTTTAGTTTTCAGCATCACTGAGAACACTGATACCACAGTTATGGCTGCAGCTACAATCATGGTCCTGGTATACCCGCTTCAACCAGAGGACATACAGATACATCCTATGGTGCTGAAGTGGTTAAAGTGGAACGTTAATTATCAAATGAAGTCCTGATGTTATTACTCAATGCTGACCCCTTTTGCAGGTATTGCCTTGTAAAAAAAATTAAAAATAAGTACCCATACCATTTAAAATCCAATAAGGCGCTGTCTCACCCTGCTCTGTGTAACCTCAGTTGCTCTATTCTCAGCACTAGGCTGAGAAAAGAGCAGTGAGTCACTGAAGGCTGATATGCTGAAAGCCACAAGATTTACTTTCTCCTGAAGGGGAAGGCACCAGGAATGACACAGACTGTGCTGAAGAAACACACATTAGGGAGAGAGAAAAGCAGGAGAGGTGACAAGACAAACTCTGCTGCCAGGGAGACACAAAAGTTAAACATACAAGGACAGACTTATCTCCCTTATTTTCTCTCCTTTTTCCCTCCACAGCCCTGTGAATCTGAGCACTGTGCAGAGTCTGTCCTTCACCTCTAGCCAAGACAAACTTAAGGCTGGAAATACACACATTTTAATTGCAGAAATTGGCATAGTTTGAGACTAAACAGAGGGGGAGACCTTTCAATAAGAAGCGATTGCTCTGGGTCGCAGCAAATGGTGAAACAGGAGCAATGCTGGAGGCAAAGTTACAGTACAATTATGAAAGTGGAATGTATATTTGTTTTTTAAAGAACTTTAATTGTTTTCAAATTGTTATGCAACATTACCAATCATAGGATGTGGTGGCTGCATTAGTACTTTTTTTTTTTTTTTTTTTTTTAGGCTTTTCTCTGTGTTTACCTGGTGATCTGGCCAGTAAACAACTCATGTATTAGAGTGCGCCCACTCTGGAGGAAGGAGTACATGGGCACCTTTAGGCACCAGCATTGTTAGTCTGGGAGAAGGGGAATGTTAGATGCACAAGCAGATTTAAATACACTAAAATTGATGCTAAACTCCAGCTAATACTTTAAAAGCAGGTTATAGCAAACAGTTTTTTTTTTTTCCTTTTGGAAAAAAGGTTTAACATGAAACCAACGCTGATCATTATAAGCACCCGCACTAGTGTAAAATGGTTTGTCTCATCCTTGTAACTGATTGATTCGCCTGGAGAGCTTTTTTTTTTTTTTTCAAAAGAACAACAGGCTTACTGGCTGGATCACCAGATTTAAATAGAAAAAAAGCCAGCCTAAAAAAGAAAACTAATACAGCCATCACATCTAAGAATTGGTAAGCTGCATAAATGTTTGATTTCGAGTTTAATATCACTTGAAGTTTAACAGTTGCTGGCCTGTCAATTGCCTGACCTCATGTACCACCGCCTATACCCTAAGGCTCCATGCATACTAGGAGTTTTAATAACTTTGGTAGCGTCAGCTGTGTAAAGTCATGATAAAAACGCAACTTTTTTCAGCAGTTTTTAGCGTTATTTGGCATTATACACACATTGTACTTAAACTGTTCTGAATTGACATTCATAAAATGCTTATGGGATCTCAGTGACAACAGACTGATGAATGGTAAGAACATATTGATTATGGTATGGAAGCACCAACATGATGGATGGCACATGTAGTACATTTTCTGCCCACAGTTCATTCTGATTTTTGGTAAAATATAAAAAGATGGTTGTATCAAGTATATAGCTACCAAACATGTCAAACTTTAAAATTATGCATACCTGTGAGACAGAAACAAGCGACAGTACCCAAAGTTGTCATAGGTGACATTTTAAAAGCCCTTATAAGTTATTAGTTTAGTGTTTACCATGAATGATAACCCTAGAATAGCTGCTCTCACTCCTGCGCACATGGCAATACCAAATATGTGGGGTACCATTGACACAATTTTCATGCAAGACATGCATGTTTACTTGTTCCTTGTATATGCACAGCCACCTGAATCACTTCCACTAGAAAGCCAACCGTCAGCTGAAGAGAAGTAAACAGACTCCTGGCTGCTATAGCAGGCAGGAGTTAATTTTTAAGGGCTTTGCTGCTGCGAATATAGTAGTTATGTCCATGGCAGCAAAAAGGGTTAAAAGCAATGGTGCTACAAAATTAATATTCTAAAAACAAGGTTGACATGTACAGTGGGGATCGAAAGTTTGGGCACCCCAGCTAAAAATTTGTATTAATGTGCATAGAGAAGCCAAGGAAAGATGGAAAAATCTCCAAAAGGCATCAAATTACAGATTAGACATTCTTATAATATGTCAACAAAAGTTAGATTTTATTTCCATCATTTACACTTTCAAAATAACAGAAAACTAAAAAATGGCGTCTGCAAACGTTTGGGCACCCTGCAGAGTTAATATCTTGTACTGCCCCCTTTGGCAAGTATCACAGCTTGTAAATGCTTTTTGTAGCCAGCCAAGAGTCTTTCAATTCTTGTGTGAGGTATCTTTGCCCATTCTTCCTTACAAAAGTCTTCCAGTTCTTTGAGATTTCTGGGCTGTCTGTCACGCACTGCTCTTTTAAGGTCTATCCATAGATTTTCATTTATGTTGAGGTCAGGAGATTGTGAAGGCCATGGCAAAACCTTCACTTTACGCCTCTTGATGTAATCCCCCGTGGATTTCGAGGTGTGTTTAGGATCATTATCCATTTGTAGAAGCCATCCTCTCTTTAACTTCAGCTTTTTCACAGATGGCATCAAGTTACCATCCAAAATTTGCTGAAATTTTATTGAATCCACTTTTCCTTCTACTCGTGAGATGTTCCCTGTGCCACTGGCTGCAACACAACCCCAAAGCATGATTGATCCAACCCCATGCTTAACAGTTGGACAGAGGTTCTTTTCATTAAATTCTGTGCCCCTTCTTCTCCAAACGTACCTTTGCTCATTCCGGCCAAAAAGTTCAATTTTAACCTCATCGGTCCACAGAACTTGTTTCCAAAATGCTTCAGGCTTGTCTATATGTTCATTTGCAAAGTTCAAACCATGGATTTTTGTGGTGAGGACGTAGAAGAGGTTTTCTTCTGATGACTCTTCCATGAAGACCATATTTGTACAAGTATCTCTTTATAGTGGAATAGTGTACCACAACTCCAGTGTCTGCCAGATCTTTCTGGAGGGATCGTGCAGTCAAACGTGGGTTTTGAATTGTTTTTCTCACAATCCTGCGAGCTGTTCTCTCTGATATTTTTCTTGGTCTTCCAGATCTTGCTTTAACGTCCACTGTTCCTGATGACTGCCATTTCTTAATTACATTCCGAACAGAGGATATTGACATCTGAAAACGCTTTGCTATCTTCTTATAGCCTTCTCCAGCTTTGTGAGCGTCAACTATTTTCAGTTTCAGTTTTCTAGACAACTGCTTAGAAGAACCCATGGTGCTGATTGTTGGGGCAAGGTCAGATGAGTCTGAGCATTTAAAACCTTTGAGATTGACATCTGGTCTTCCCAGACGATGATTGAGAACAATCCATAACACTGGCAGGTCTCAGCTTTGCAAAGGGGGCAGTGCATGCTATAAATTCTGCAGGGTGCCCAAACTTTTGCAGACGCCATTTTTTTGTTTTCTGTTATTTTGAAAGTGTAAATGATGGAAATAAAATCTAACTTTAGTTGACATATTATAAGAATGTCTAATCTGTAATTTGATGCCTTTTGGAGATTTTTCCATCTTTCCTTTTTGCTTCTTTATGCACATTAATACAAATTTTTAGCTGGGGTGCCCAAACTTTCGATCCCCACTGTAAAGATCTTATACTTACCTGTTCTTCTGCCCACACAGCTGGTGTGCGATTTTCACCAACCCCTACATCATTGCAGGACATAGCAGTTGTTGGAGAGCAGAGATGCTATTGGAGAGCTCAGCTGCTACAATAAAAAGGCAAAAAGCACCCTCCCACAACAAGGAGCTTACCAGGGAGAACAACTTATAACATGGTGGGTGGAAAAAGGTTGACCCCTTTTATTGTTTTTTTTTTTTTTTTTTAAGATATTAGTCAAATATTCTAAAGAAAAACAAAGCTGTTTTCAGAATGATGTTTAGGATACACACCTGTCTAGCCATTTTTAAATAGATATAAAATAAATTGATTACCTTCTCTAACTCCACCCTGCATTGTCAGCTTAAGATTTTTTGCATGCGTTTTTCCTTCATAGTGGGATGAAGCAACCACAGGAGATGAAAATGTCATGTTGCAGACTGGGCAGCACTTGTTCCTATCAGTCTCATCACCCATATCCTGCAAATACAAAAACAGGGAGTAGTTACAGAACAAAATTAAACCTTGTACAGTCAGAGTGCATTCTTTGATAACTTCCATTTTTAGGGATCGTTCACACCACGTTGCAGAGTGAGTTTTTCTGCACACATTCTGCAATGGCACAACAAAGGTGCCCTGTTCACACCACGACACTGGTATCACGTGCAGATTTTTTTCTGCTCAAGAATCTACGTGTATAAAACTCATCGAAGCTCACATGAAAACAGATGGCTCTGCAAGTGAAATCTGCACTTCAGTTTCCATTAGTTGTTTTTGCACATATTGTGTGAATGAGGCCTAAGATCAACCAATTAGGTTTTATCTGTGCAAACTAAAAGTGTATTTATTATGCAGCATAGAAGCAACAATCAAAATTTTTGAAATGTTAGGAATCAACCCTTTAGATACTGTTAATGTTTATAACAGACTCAGTCCTTTGAAATGTTACAACTTTACTTCCAATTTGCCAATATACTGTGCTTCATGGCAGATTTGAAACCGACTCTTGGGCCTCGTTCACACCAGTGTGCAGAGAAGTGAGTTTTTCTGCACGTGTTCTGCAAGGGCACAAAGAAAACCATTGCTCTTTATGTGCCTTGTTCACACCACAACACTGGTATCATGTGTGAATTTTCTTCTGCACAGGAAACTGCAACGTGTATAAATCTCACTGAAACGCAAATGAAAACTGTTGTAAACTTGTGCCTCTGCAAGTGAAATCTACCTGTTTTTCCCCATCAGTTTTTCTGCACATATAGTGTGAGCAAGGCCCTAGAGAGGTGAATACGGTTCAAAAAGTTCCACTTGGTGACTAAAATGAATCAACAGAAACCTTGGTTTCTAATTTTTTTTTTTTTTTTTTTTTTTTTTTTTTTTAACCACCACCCACAGTAGTGCTATACTTTTTAAAAAGGAATCAAGGAATAGATTCATATAAAATGTCAGACCAGTCAAAACCTTAAAAGCGGTAGTAAACTCTCCTATAGTATTGTTCCACATCATAACCACACTGCATTAACTTACATATAGCGGTGTTTTATATTCCTCAAAGCTTTGCTGTTTGTGAGAAATCCCCTGCTGTTCCCTGCAGTGGTGTTATTTGCGCATGTACCTTTCTGCCGTTTCAAGGCATGCTCTATGTACCATCAAACCTTTCTAAAAGGTGCCATGCCAACGTTATCGGCACTTGGCATCCATTTAAATTATGGGAGAGCTCTGGGCCAGCAGTGTAAATATCGGGCCGGGTCAGCAAGAGAAGTACAGCGCATGCACTGCCATACTATTGTAGGAAGGGCGGAAACGCACTCTGCACTGGAACAGGATACCAGGAGCTGACATGGTGCAGGCTGCAGCCGAAGGGCATATAAAGAAAGTAAGGAGAATTGACATTACAAATTACGCAAATAAGGAATTGACATTCTGGTGTGCTTTTTAAGGTTTGCAAATATTGATGCAATGATGAAATTGGATTCTGTGGGCTGTGTTTACTTCAGCTTTAAATGGGCAAAGTAAAAACTCACCTACTTATATAATACTAACCAACAGATAAACAGCACTGCATTTATGAATACTAATTAACCATTTTTGAGTAACATAAGATAATTACCAGAGCACGTTCAGCTCTTCTTTTTACTGGTGCAATACCCTCTCCTTGGTGAATGGTCAAGTACCGTCGAAATTTACTTGCATGTTTCTTGCTCTAAAGAAAAAGAAAAAAAAAAATACATTTACATGTTTGACACTGCAATATTAAAACTTTAAAGTTGTCATAAGAGAGTTAAAATGCAGATCTTGCAGTGATTTCAAAGTATGTGTGTTAATCTCAGTAGCTCTAGGGAGCCTCTAAAACTGAAGTGGCGTGGATTAAAACATAAATAAAACTTCAACTTCTAACCCAATTTGGTACTAAGCCATACCCACCCTTCTTATGCCATTTAATGGTCTAATTTGAGAACCACAGAGATTTGGATTATAAGGGATAGTTTTTATGTATGTTATAGATCTGTGCTCAAGCAGCTTTCAAAGCCCACTGAAATTCAATTTGATCAACAACTACTTGTGGGAACAATAAGTCCATGCATTTTAAACATTCATTTTAGATTATTCATCTGAAAAGTTCACTGTAAAAATGAATAGAAAGTTACCTGGTAATGTGCAAGCTTCTGTGACTCAGAAATCAAAACAGCACTGCACACTTTACAGTGGCCATCAGAGAAAAGGTGGCAATTTTGTCGGATTAAACGGTTTACTGAAAAGAACACAAGAAATGTGTTAAAATGTTTATCACATAACCAATTAAAAAATACACATACAAGAAGAGAGAATTGTAAAAAAATATAAATTCCAAAATATATGGTTCATGTTCTAAATAAGCCAAAAGGGAACTATGTGACTGGAAGCCACTCTGTCTTCACATACCCACATGCTGTATATACCCCTCTTTCTTCATTTCTGAACATTAATTCTAAAAATTTTTCCTAGAGTGGAGCCTCAAGTTTAGATCTAACCAAGCTTAAAACTGCTGTACAAGGAAGATGCAGTCGCGTGATCTCTTCAACAGCAAGGAGAGGAGAGAGTGCCAACAGCTTGAATGCCAGGGCAATGACATCACCCATAGGCTTACTATGGGGCATCCCTTGTCAGCTGTCCCTCCTCTCCCCTGAAGCCAGCGCTGGGAGCCGATCATGTGAGCAGACCAGAGCACCCTGAGTATAGGTAACTAAAAACATCCTACTACTACTGGGTAGTTAATACAGGTGTTACCCGGGGGAGTATGAGCGGTTTTAGGCCCCTTTAACACTGACCGTCCGATCGGGTCTGCCTGTCAGTTTTTCAGGCGGACCCAATCAGACCATCCATCTATGGACTGGCGGGTGTCAGTGGACACCCACCGGCAACCGATCATGTACGCTAAAAACAGATGGATGGGGGTCAGTTTCCTATCCGTCTGGCAGATCAGATGACAGTCGGGTGGAAATGGACAAGCGGTCCTTTTCCATCTGACCGCCCCATAGGAAGACACAGGATGTGTGCCCCCGCTCTTCAGCGGACACAAACCTATCATCCGCTTGCTCAGCAGAAATTTCCCGCTGAGCAAACGGATCCCACTGGCGGGCCCGCCCCGTCTGAAAGGGGCCCGAAGCTTAGTTAGATTAACTTCTACTCTATTATTCTACTATTAACCTACTGGCTCTCACTAACATATGTGCAGCGGCAAAGAGGGTAGGCTTTTAAAGTGATTGTAAACCTCAGACATGAAATATGAGCAAAGCATATCCCCTCTATTGTATGTACTTGTCTCAAGAGTACCAAGTGTCATTTCTGTCTGCTGCTTTGTTCCTCTGATATCCGCACAAGTAACTTTGGACAAGTTTTCCTGACACCAAGAAAAAAAATGGTATCAGGGGAAGAACCTCCAGCAGATTGACAGTCTCAGTTCTGTTTCTGTGAGCTGTGTGGAAAGGGTGCGTCTCTTCCCAACAACCAGTATGTATATTCAGCACTTTGAACAAATGTAAAGAAGACTGCACATAAGACATGTACAATTTATATAGGAGGATTAATTACATCTCTGTGTATCAGCTGAGGCCAGTCACTTCACATATGGCAGGGTTTACAATCTATGGCCAGAAAACGTTTTCTGCACTCACTGCACACTCTCAGCACGATGACCAAGCTGTCAGACAGCTCCCAATCCCAATAATGATTGAGAGCTGGCGGGACTGTTTTCTGATTATTGGACCAGGGTGACAGCCAATCACAGTGGTCATGTGATCAGACATGTTCCACCCACCCTAAATACGGGTGGAACATGTAACATGCTCCAAAGGTGTACTTAACCTTTAGGATCACAACACACTCCAAAGTTGGTTTCAGTAGGTTACTAACCACTTCGAAATATCTAATGTATGTTTACATCAGGCTTCAAAGAGTTTGATGCAATAAACCGTAACATGAAAAACAAAATAAGATTTCTGTGCCTCACTTTGAGAAAAAAAAAATCCATACTACCTATATTTACAGAGGTGAACAAGGGCTTGTTTTTACTGCTAGTTCAGAACATCTTAACACTTTAATCTGTACATAATCTGGACATGGGCTTTGTAACATAAACTGGCCATGCATGCCCTGTGTAGACAGCCACTGGGGACAAAAGGAAGAAAATTCTAGTGGCAAGTTTTCCTCCATAGAATGACTGGACAGAAATAAGCCCAGTCAGGACAGGTTCCCTTTTGAGGGGATGAAAGACTCCCAACACAGATTTTTGGAAACTTAAAATGACACTAAAAATCTGTATTCTTCATACATTTTCAATACCCATCCTCAACTAAATGGCCCTGTAATCTACTTTTCATGAAATTATGTTTTTCTGTCTTCCTGTAATGCTCCGTTACCCGCTTTTTTTTTTTTGGTCCAATTGTGGCAGGGTCTTTAAGCATTTAAGTACTGGCCACCCTCAAAGAAACTGTAGCAGATGACCACAGAAAAGCAAGAATGCTCTCAAACATTTATGAAAGAATACATTTTTTTTTAAAACACACAAAACACAATGCATTCCTTAGTAGGCATTTTAAAGCATTGCTGCCTTTCCATGGCTGTGATCCCATAGTTCTTTTTCCTGTTCCTCCTGGTAATAGGACTGAGGTTGTCCTGTGTCTCCTGTCTTCCCTGAGCTGGCAACCAGGTGAAATACTCGCTAAACATTTAAATGAAACATTTTAAGAATAGGCTATATGCATGCACACTTGAGGG